GCATGTCAAACAAGCAAACAAAAGGCTTTTTGATTTGCCAGGAAGGAATCTTTTCTGTTGCTAAGATGTGCGACTCAACGTTTCCACCCATCAAAAATAGTCTCTATGGGATTCATTTATGGGATCAACATTGAAAAAGGCGTACTTTACCATACCTTTCCCTTGGTGTTATGTGGATTATTTTATGTAGAAGATGTATCTCAACTGAATAAACTGTTAAAAACGTCTTGTCTTGTCCTAAATCATAAAGGTTTTTTAGCATACATGCTTATTTTTAACATATATAAAGAAACATGGGAAGGTTTTAGTTTGTCACTTATTAACTGGCCATCAATCCATTCTGCAGGATGTTACATTAGTATCAATTTATAAACAAAACGGTCATCGGTAGAACGCCATCATTGCATCACTCATCTCTTCCAAAAACGAGTGTAATTTACGTTCTAGTAACTTAATCACTACTTAATCACTAAGGTTATTCCCAAAGCTCGCACCTCCTTTGGCCGCTCCTCATTCCAGTTTGCTGCTTCCAACGACTGGAATGAGTTGCAAAAATCACTAAAGCTCTCTACATACATTCCATTACCTACCTTCAATAATTCATTGCAGTCAATAATTTCTGATCAATGTGCTTCTGAGTACTTAAAGATTACTTTATGTCTGTTTTGATTGCTTGTGCATATTATATTTGAGAACAGTCCTTTGTCTTTATGTTCAACTTCTTTGGCGTAAAGCAAACTATGTGTCTGTTGCTGCTTCCTCTTGGCCAGATTATTGTCCTAAATGAGAATGAGTTCTCAATCAACTTGTCTGGTTAATAAAAGGTAAATAAATTAAAAAAAAGTTAAATTAACCAGAAACGACTGATGATCTAAATCCATGTGGAAGTCTTTAGAGAAGCAATCTCTCAAACACAAAAAAAAACTTGGCAATAGAATCATTTTAGAAATGAACAACTTTTTAAAAATATACAATATAACAAATTATTCCATTGACGACATCTTGACTCATTTCCTGGTATTTTGTCTTTTACTTCGTTACTTTGTTCATTTTATTTGTAAGTTTAAAGCTGTTATAACAATTATTTAATATTTAATATTTACAGAACAAGCTAGGCTTTGAACGCAACTGACCCCACCCTCGGATATATTCCCCAACATGCTTCTGAAACCGGACACCAATGATACCGGCCGAAATGAGATAGCGCTAAACACCAGTCGCCATTTTCAAGGCCCAAACGTTTTTTTTTGTTTGTCTGTGACTTCAAATGGTGTTTTTCTGTTTGGGACTGTGGTAGTTTTTCCCAAAGTTGAAGTGGTAGCAGCCAACTGTTTGTCCTTCTCTGATATTACTGAGCGGAGAACCTCTCACACCAGTGTTGTTCTGTTGCTAAATGCGTGAGTGCGTACAGAAGAGAGGACCCAGGGAAGTGCAGTGGTTCGGCAAGACCGACAACCGGATGGTCCGATAGATGCTTTCGGCCCAAAACGTGCAATGGCAGGGGTTTTTAGACAAATGAGGGAACTACTTTATTAATGTTTATCATCTCTGCTATACTGTTAGAATGTTGTTTAGAGGGATAGAAAGTTTTCCAAACTTGTTAGAGCAGATTTAAATAAAAAAATGCACTTTACATTTAATTGTATTATTCCAAACTCTGCATTTAAAACATACTGATCCACTCTTTTTATTTCATATCATAGCAATTTAAATGTAAAAATAAACCTTATTTATTTATAGAGTTACGTTCACATTCTTCACATATTTACCAAAACATTTGCATGGATGAGCAAATTTGTTGCTTATCAAATTTTGACAATAAATTAATATTCTGTGATTTGTAAACCCATAACATCTGACACTAAAGATCTCAACATGTTTCCCTACAAAAATCATCCTTTTCACCCAAATAAATGTAATAATTTCAAAACACTGTCATTTTAGTCATGGATACTTGTAGATCTACTTCAGTGAATAATTTGGCAACTGGAAAGGGTTTCATTAGAATTTTTGAGACGTGCTTTCTTCAAGTTAAATGATTTACCTGCAAAAATGTCAGATTGTAGAGATCAATACAGCACACACACAAAAAAAATTATAGATGTTCGTTTTTTGTAGGAAGAAATGTTTTGTGTCCAGTCATTTTTGCCATTGTGGGAGCTTACGTGTGTGTGTGTGAGTGTGCGTGCGTGTGTGTGTGTGTGTGTGTGAGAGAGAGAGAGAGAGAGAGAGAGAGAGAGAGAGAGAGAGAGAGAGAGAGAGAGAGAGAGAGAGAGAGAGAGAGAGAGAGAGAGAGAGAGAGAGAGAGAGACTCATGCTGTGCTGTTCATGGTCTGAGTCTGGAATGATTCCATTCAGTGGGTTGAGTTTGCATGCATTTTGTTCCACTAGGACAAGACACGGGCACAAACCCAACACACACTCACACACATCTGAGTGTGGGGGAGGGTGTGATGACTGAGCAAAGTAAATTCTAACCTCCGGTTAGTATCTTGTCAACAAATGCCATGACAAACAAGTAACCGTTTCGATCCTCTCTAAGAAAAGCGTTGTTTATGCCTCATGTGAAGACTCAATCTTTAATTTACAGGATTATAGGTGAGCGGTTGTTTACGCCAAATGCCTGCAAGTGCAGCTTTCCCAGCAGCTCAGTCACATACACAGTTACACACACTCCCCGCTTTATTTACCGGAACTGAATTAGTGACACTGGGGCGGTCAGAGGCTGTAAATTAGGAATTCCACATTTGAACCACATGATTCAGCTATTAGTGCTTCATGGAGCGTGAACTTGTATGCCTTTGCTGAAATAGAAAAAAACATTCCAGTTGATGAGGCTGCTCCTCTTGTCCAAGCAGCTCCTCTTCTTTCTTTTTGGGCTCAGCTTTAGTCAGGCTTTTCCCCTCACTATTTACCTTGGACTAGATTACCTACATATGCAAGAATGTGGTATACAAACAAGGTTTTACTGTTCCAGACAAAACAATTTATTGCAGCTATCAGCAGCATGACGTGGGGTCAAATAGCATGGACATCTTTGAGTTCAAAGTTGGAGTTGATCCAGCTTAGATAGGAAACACAAAAAAAAAATCAGTATCTTGTACCCAACTGCAGAAAATGTGGTGTTTAGCATTATAACTTGTATTTGAGATTGATTTTGGAAGTTAAAACAGGGTTTTTGTAACCCTGCATCCTATACTCTTTATTACAGTGGATTAAATAGAAACATTTGATCATTTTTAGGGGGACATTAAAATGCTGCAGTGCATTGTCAGTCAAAAGACAAAAAAAAAACTTAAATGAAAAACTAAGGCAAGTGGATCCTATTATCCTTTAGGAATGCCTGTTCTGGCACAAACAGTCTATGATGAAGATTAAAGCTAGACAGGAATGACCTCCTGCATGAGTCTTTATTGCAGCAAAGCAAATAAAGTTTCTAACTAATGGTATTTTGGGTGTTTTTAGTCAGTTTTGCTGAAAGAGCGCACTGTTTTCAGTAGTTAATGTCTGTTTTTTCTCTTTTTTCAGTTATTTTTGTTATTCTTTGCTGCATTGCTCCAAATGTAAGCTACAAAAGGTGTTTTTCAGCACACATGTTTCTTTTCTTAGAAATGTAAGATTTCTCTTAAAGTGTATTTTTGATGTTTTCCTTCTTGTAGACAGGCTCAGAGTTGCATTTTCAGTCAGTAGGCCTATTTTATGGCAGATACTTTATTTTGCAAGAGTAGGGGAAACACAGGTGTGTGAACAAGGGATAACAGATTCACGCCCAGATGCAAGAGTGGAACCCTCACTACATCTTTGCCTTTCTTACTCTTGCAAGTCATAATGTCTGCCATGAAATATGTTCATCCATGTAAACACTCAACATATGTGCACTTCTCTAGCTTTTCTGTCAGGATCCAGAGTGCCTTGTACTTTGCCTACTTCACAACTGATGACCCCAGAGATGCACAATGTTTTTCTACACAAGACGATGCTAAGTCTGTGTATAGATAAAGAGCCAGAGCAGTGCTTCTGTGCAAAAATGGTCATCCTTCATGTTGCCAGTAGTTGTGTAGGTATTCACTTGTGTCTTCTGGAACATTGCACATCAAGTAGCAGTTCAGACGGTGGCTCAACTGCATCTGTAGTCATTCTAGTCGTGATCCTATTTCTTTAAACAGTGTTTGGCTTTACTTTTTGCAAAATGACAGGGACTGCTTTACTTCTGTTTTCTTCTCAACAGCAGCTAAAATAAGATACATCAGAGGCAGGTCTGGGAATATTGGGGACATTTGTGTGGGTTTGTAATCATGCAAATTGATTTCATATGTTCCTCGTTGTGTCTTAAGGTGAACCACATCCACTGGGCTGCTGGTCCCCTCTCCTTCTCCCTCTCATTTTCACCCTTTTGCCTTCCTGTTAGCATCAAATGTCTGACCCTTCTGACATTAAATCTGCAAAATGAAAGCAGTGTGGATGTGTATTTTCCAAAAAGAAGAAAAAAAAAGTTAAAAGACCAGATAAAAAAAAACATAGACATAAAACATGCTGAGCAGATGCTTGCAAATGAAGCTGTTATCACAGCTGTTAAGATTAACGGGTCAAATGCAAAATATGGAGTTACTGATGATCTTGAGAATCATCCTCAGAGCCTTGTTCTTGTGCTGGGTGGTCATAACATTGCTCACAATTTGACTTTTTCTTGATTTTATTTTTTAGTAGATCTGACATAAAAACCCACTCATGGTCTCTAAATGTTAAACCTAGTGTTGTCCCACCGTCAAGGTCCTGGCTGTGGAATAAATAAAGCCACAAATGCTTCTCAAACCAGGTTTAATTTACTTTAAAGAGCTGTTATTGTTGCAATTTGCCTCAAGTTGACAAACTTTTTTTTTGTTTTTTTTTTGTTTTTACTTTTATGTGGATTTGAATGTGTGTGTGTGTGTGTGTGTGTGTGTGTGTGTGTGTGTGTGTGTGTGTGTGTGTGTGTTCATGTATGTTTTTGAATGGAACAGGTGACACCTGGAAGCAAGGCAGCCCTAAGCGACCTATGTCCAGGAGACACCATCTTGGCCATCAATGGTGACAGCACAGAGCACATGACGCACATGGATGCTCAGAACAGGATAAAAATGTGCTTCCAGCAACTCACGCTCAGCATCAGCAGGTATGACAACGTTAAACTGTATTCACTGAGAAATATGTTAAATAAAACATGATCTGGCACAGTTGAGCCATGTTTAAAGATGGCAGGTTTACAACAGATTTAATTGATCTATCTGCTGCACCTATGAGCACCATGAAAGTCAATGAAGCTTGGAACTGTGGCCTTTACAAATAGAATACAGAGGTAATATTTTACTTTTTATTGCTTCATTAGAGGAAAAACTGATTCCTCACCTTCCAGACTGAGTGTAAGGGTATCATTTCTTACTTAATGTTTATTAGAATTAAAAAAAGAGATTAAAGTGTCCTTACCAAAAACACATTTTATTGAACTAAAAGAATTGAGTCATTTATTGGAAAATGTAAAGATGCCCTCTTTTGAAAGCTTGAGGAGCCTTTTTTTTCCTGCAAATTTTAAAATGATGTTTTTGCCTGACCTCCTGAGTAAGTAATTAGGGATGGACAATATATCGGCATCAATATCGGTACCGGCCGATGTTAGTCATTTTTTAACATATCGGTATCGGTTCGATAAATACAATTGGGCCGATATTAACAACCAATATTTTTTTCATCTTGTCTTCATTTGTTTGCCTGTTTCAGAGGGTGAGGGGGTTTGTGTGTAATCGTTTAGTCATGTGAACAGTAAATGAAATCATCTCAGAACCATAAATGTGTGTTAAAAGAGGTTCTTTTTGTTTCCGACATGAAGGTGTTTCGAGTTACCTTGACATGTTTCGACCGTCGTCTTCAGTCTTCCTCAGAAATGTTACAGATGTCTGTGTGACGTGTCTATCAGCTGTTCTTCTGGTGGGCGCGACCAACCCGGATCTGTCAGATCCACCGGATCAGCCACGCCCACCTCCGCTGGCCGGTCTTTGGAGAAGGGAATCCCAGGTGCGAGACAGCTGATAGGCCCCCTCGTCTCTGTTCATGTTTCAATGTTCCCGTTTCCTTAATTCTATTGCCTCCCTGACACAACGCTTGAACCGGTTGTTCTCCGTGTTGTTCTTATGTTTCTGCGCATACCTGTAGTTATCATCCATTTATCATTAGAGGCGAAATCCTCAATATATTGTGATATTGATATTAGGCCATATCGTCCAGCCCTAATCTAAAGTAATACACTGGAAACCTTAATCCTAGTTTACACGTATGTTAGTAAACTGAACTCTCACAAAGTTCGTTCCACGCTGGTACAGTAGGTGGTGACATGCGTCCTTTCATGTCGGCATTCTAACAAACGCTGACGGGAGTGAAGCAGAAAAACGCAGCAGCACAGCTCATTTGGTACGCACTTTACTGTTTGATGGTGTTATGCACGTTACTTTGTAACTTCTGCTGTCCCGTCACTTCCAGAAGTTACCAGTATCAGCTTAACGGAGCAGTTAACATAAAATAAAATAAAAAACGATGTCAGTCTATTTAGGGCAATAATTTGGTTTTCTGATGCACATGTAAACACATTGATTCTTGTTAACCCTCTGGAGGCAGGTGTTGCAGATTAGCAACGTTAAAACCTACCTGCCTGGTTATTCCACATACGTATTTCATGAGCATTTTTTAACTCAGAAGTACCCTTGAAGGACTTAGTTATTTGTCCTTTTATCAAAACTTATTTTGAGCCTGAGAGGGTTAAAGGACTCTTTGGATAAAGCTTCCTCTGTCAAAGATACAGCCTGATGTTTGGCATACAGAACGATAACAGAATGAACTCAATGACTGTAAAGGTCACCAAGTTAAGATCCCATGGTGGCAACACAGGACCAAATTATCACCCCTAAACCGCTGCGTTTGACAGTAGTAACCCTAACCCTATGGGCCCATGTTCTCTTGTGGTTTTGGTCTAGTAGAACACTATGTTTTATGACCAAAATCCTCCACTTCAGATTGTTCATCCATTTAGTTTTCTACTGAAATTGTGTGGCTTGTTGAGATGGAAATTTGCAAACATCGGTCATGCTGCCTTGTCCATTTTATGCAAAAAGGGCCTTTCTCCTGGCAACCCTTCTAAAGACCCCATAAAGGCATAGCAAGCCATGCTCTGTCTTTTGTTAATTGCGTTGTCAAAAACTGAATTGTGGCTCTTGTTTTATTACACATTCTAACCTTGGATTGAACTTACTGGACACTTACTCCTAGGAAGACTGGAAGCTGTTTGAATGTTTTCCCACTTGTGGATATTTATTACTGTAGCGTAATAGACCCCAGCGAGCTTGGAAATGACCTTGAAACCTTTTCTCAGATTTATGGTCAGTAACAATTACTTCACTGGGATTCACTCCAAAGTTGTTGCTTTTCTAGCATTGTGATAGCTCATACCTGTATGCCCCATACCAGCAAACTACCAAAACCATAAAAAGTGAAATATCAACTAAATTAAGAGATGTTTTTGCTTTAATGTGTCTCCATGGTTTGAACATCAGAGGAGGGCATGAGCAATACGTTTCTGGAATGAAAATCATCAGTCTAAACAGTTAATGACAGAGGAGAGTGGAAGTGGTTGGAAGGTTGCAACCAAGGAAAAACTGAAATGTCAGTTACTTCCCACATTTCCATTAAATGGTTACTTGGGTTGGTCGACTACTGGAAAGTGCAGCGCCATTCTGACATCCTCCTGAACCTTGTCCTCTTAAATGAAGAACACAATGTGATTTCGGCCTTAGTTACAATTGACAGCTGCCAAATGGAGCTTCGGTTCTCTCCTTTTAGGGCAGAACACAACAGTTTTTCCTCTGTTTGACAAAATGGGTCAAATTATGAAACTGGCTTCCAGAAGAAGTGATAAGACCTACTGGATGAGGGGAAAATTCACATCTACCGACATGCATAACATTGAAGTTTTCCATTCTCTGTGCTGCATTTGTTATAGTTTGCACTCTAGCATGCAACAGCCTCTTCTGCCTCACCTAGTCTGCAGTGGAAACTGCCCATCTAAATATCAAGTGTAGCTGCTGAGCATTATGCTATTTTCTACTTAGGGTTAGTAAATTTATTTATGTACACCTAAACACAAACAACACAATGCTGTGTGGGAACTTTATAGAAAAAGTCACAGTTAGGGTTGTCACGGTAACCGGTGTAGCGGTAAACCCCGGTAAAAAAGTTGACAATAATAATAACCGTCTTGTTTAAAAAAAAAAACTATATTATCTCGGTGTGTTACCGTGGCTGCGGTGTAGGCGCGGTGACCCTTACCAGCCACTGTATCATCTGCTGAAGTTGCCGGCGGCACATGCGCGCTATGTTGTTTACAACCAAAACTTTCTTGAAGCTAAAGCTGAAATAATGGCCAAAGGAGGAGACGGCAGCGCTCAGGGCATTTATTATCCCTCAAAGAAGACAAAGTGGGAAGTATGGGCATTTTATGGATAACTGAAGAATGCCGAGGGACAGCTGATAGAAGACGGCTATCCTGTTTGCAGCACGTGCAGAAAAAGTGTCTGTGAAAGGCAGCAACGCTTCAAATCTCATGACACATCTGCGTGACCATCGCCCACAACTCTACAGTCAACGCAAGGCAAGCTAACATTAGCGTTTTGGCTAAAATGTGTGATCCGAGGATTTGGGTTGAGGGAGAATGCAACGAGTCGCTATATAAAGCAGCCGCAGCGCCGCTACCTGCATATAAACCGAGTCGCGGACACCCCCATGTTGAAATGACGCTATGCATTACGGGGCTCCCAGGGGCAGATAAGAGTTGGCCTCTCTCCGAGAATAGTTATAAATTTATGACATTTTCCCAAATCTGCAAAGCTCACTGGAACACAAACCGAGGACAATATTTTCCTGATATAGGGTTTATTACTCAAGTAAGGGTAAAAAAAAGTATCTGATTAGAAGGCTACTTGAGTACTGAGTATCATCTGATCTAATATTTTTAAATGATGACATCAAACAGACAAAACATAAGAAGTTATGGGCAAATATTAGTATTTTAAAGACTAAAGGGAAAAAATGTAAACAAATAAACAACATAATTACAAAATAACACATTTTAGGCAAAATTTAGACACAAACTGAGGACAATATTTCCTGACATACAGGGTTTATTTAATGGTGTGAAAATGTATTACGTTTAAAAAATATACCGCGATGATACCGAAACCCGTGGTAATTTTGGTCACAATAACCGTGAGGTTAAATTTTCACACCGTGACAACCCTAGTCACAGGGATAGTCTAACGAGTGAGAGAGAACTGTAACAGTATATTAAAACAAACATTATTTTAGACATACAAGTTCATATATTTTATTTTGTTTTTAGTTTCACTTGTCATCTGCTTGTTTCTTTTTTTGAAAGATTAGAAGTTAGAAATCATTAAAATTATTTTAATTGATGTAATGTGGGCATCATCAGTCCTCCTTGCTGTTATTCCATTTTAATATTGTATATGTCTGGGTTAAGGCTTGCTTTTATTTTCTAGCTAATGATCTTTAAATCTTACATCAATAATTCATTTAAATTAGGTGGGCCAAGGCTACTTGTTGGAATGTGACCTTTCTGTTGTATATCAGTTGAATAATTACAGTGTAAACTGGCTTAATCTGCTAGACTGAAGGAGATTAAGACAAGACCGACGGATAGGCATGCACATTTGGCTTTAAATCACATTGCTAAATCGGGCTTGTACCATGCAGAAAATATAGAGGAACAGCATGCACACTATAGAAAAATGTGTTTCTAAATAATGCTTTGTTTAGTGACTTCTTAGTGCCAAATTATGATTAATGCAGATTTCCTCCTGGCAAGCCACCGTCTGGCCACGACCCACTGAAAGAGCTTTTTCTTAGGGTGGAATCTACGTTTGTCTTTTAAACTGTGTCTGTACACAATTGGACAGTGATAAGAAAATGGAGCATGGCAAGACCAATCTGCAGGGCAAATTCTTTAGCTAATGGCAAGTTTGTCTAAATTTCTAAGTTAGATTTCCCCTTCATTCTTCATTACACAAAGATAAAGTACATTTTCACTACAGGACTTCTGGGAAATTTCCGGGA